GTGTGTGTGTGTGTGTGTGTGCTGCTGCTCGTTTTTCTTATTTTTCAAACTTTTTAACTTTTTCAGTTTTTTAAATCTTCTGTCAAATCGTTTACACCTGAGATCAGCTGATTGCACAGAGGATGGTCACCATAGCAACCTGAAAAATGGACGAGGAACGTAGAGACGCTTGGTGAGATTTTGATTTCATGATTATAGATTTTTTAATTTTGTTGGAAACTTTATAAAAGTTAAGAGAATTGATGAAATCGTATCTGATGAGTGAGAATCCCTGATGATATAATAACTGATCGTTGGACGCATGTTGTGGATTGGTCTGCTGTGTGTATGGGGGGGGGGGGGGGGGGGGGGGCTCGGGGCCCTTCAGGCTCCTCAAGTCCAACTAACAACAACATGATGAGATTTGAGTCCGCAGCTTTTTATCAGCCTGAGCAAACATTTGAGGAGGGAGGACGACAAACAGTGAAATCAAGTCCAGTTTCTCTAAGTTCATGATCATCAGCTCCGTCTCTGCTGCACAGGAAGAAAAGTTTGAATGTTTAAAAGTTTGAATGTTTTATCTGGTGTCCGATCAGAGCCGATGTTTTTAGTTCACTGTGACATTGAGACGAATCTGCTCGTCTTCATATTGAATAAATATTCACGTGTAGAAACTAGAATGTGTCTCATTACACATGAACATCAAGATCCTTCATATTCATGTTCATGTTCATGTTTATGTTTATGTGGACCTCGTTTCTGAATAGTTTGTAGAATCATTCGGATCTGAGTCGAGGCCACGTCCCTGTAGACTGAATATTCCACAGAGCTCGAGCTGAGACGTTCTGTTCTACTGAGGATTTCTGGCTCAACCGTTCATCGCAAGCTACTTTAAGCGGCCGCACTTCCTGCAGGTCAGCCGCCTGCGTAGCTAGCTCATGAGCTTCGTCCATAGCGTGCGGTCTTTGGTTACACACACACACACACACACACACACACACACACACACNCACACACACACACACACACACACACACACACACACACACACACACACACACACACACACACACACACACACCCAGTGGACTCACCATGAGTGCGTCGGAGGCACACACACTGTGGAAGCCGTGGTAAAAGGCAGCAAACTGTTTGTAAATGGATTTATTTAACAGGAAGTCGATGTAGAGCTGAACGTATTCTGAAAGAGAGAGAGAGGTTTAATATCCCACACACACACACACACACACATTATCTGTACAGTTCATCTCCATGTGGAACCCGTGTTGTTCTGTGTTTCCTCCCGACATGTTGGTTCAGGGTCTTTTGGGCAGAAAGTTGTGTTTTGATTTGTCGATGATTAGAAATCAAACTTGACTCAACGTGCTGACGAACGCCTCAGCGACGACTCACCCTTCCTGTTCTGCTTGGTCACAGGAATTCGGTCTCCTCCGGGCTTCAGGTTGTTGGATTTGATGACGCCCATCTCTTCCTGGAACACCTGCAACAGACACACCCACACACACACACACACACACACACACACACACACACACACAGGAAGATGTATCTGACCTCATCCTGGAAAATGTTTTCAGAGATGATACTGAACTAAAAACCATGAGCAGCCCATCCCCCACATTTCAAACCCTTCACGTCTCGATCACCCTCAGTCCTTGGTCACGTGACTCCGCAGTGGAAACATGCTGATCTAACAGTCAGGTGACGGAGCGGCTCTCTGGAAAACTCTCACCTTCATGCAGGTTTGACTTCAGATCTCAGGTCAGTTCAAACCGTCACTGTCCGCGTGCGTTTAGCAACACGTCCACTAGAGGGCAGTGCACAGTCTAGAGTGTCTGACAACGAACATGCCGACAGAGGACGACGTTGCGATGACGTCTTTTGTCTCTTTTCTTCTTTGTGTCCTTTGCTTAAACTATCGGCAACACTGCCCCCCCTCGATTTCTGCTGGTACTGCTCCAATTCGTCTGTTTGTAACTTTCAGGAGACGTGCACAAACACACACCAGATGAACGTCTGTCCGTCTCCGTACACACATCTAATGTTGAGCACAAACGAGCCTTCGGGCGCTACAGTGTACGACAGGGGTAACCATAGCAACGGTGATGTCTTGAAATTAAAGCTGTAGACGAGGAGATCGACAAACGTGACTTCATACGTGTTGTTTAATCAAGGAGGAGGATTTAAATAAAGTCAAAGGGTTTTAAATAAAGTGGAATAAATAAGAGCAGCAGAAACACAGTGATGAACAAACTCGTGGGCGAGAGCTGCAGAAATGTATACGTGAGTAAAGAGAGAGAGCAGGTCAGTGGGTTTGTGCAGCTCTGAGGTGTGACTGACGTGCAGCCTATAGCTCCGCCTCTGGTTGAAAATAACACCTCACCCTGACGTTTGCATAATATTTCTTCCTCTTGTGACCCCCGCTGCTCCAGTGAATATCCCAACATGTGTGTCACATGTTCCACAAAACACGCCGATGTCACGGAAAGAGACACTCAGTCATGTTTCACAGGTCGGAGCAGCTTTTATGAACGATTCTACAATTCAAAGGTTTTGACACAAAATGATTTATCAGTGAACCACCAGCTCGTCACGGGTGTTGTTCACAGTCTCTTCCTGAGTCAAAGCACAGGAAGTGTTTCAGCAGAACTCGATGACATCACCGTGGAGCTCTCTGACATTTGAGATATAAAATCACTTCATCATTTGACCCTATAAGGACGTTATTCTTCATTTATGATGAAAACAAATGATTTGTGAGTTCACAGTGACCTTTGACCTTTCAAATTCTGACCAGTTTGTCCTCTGTCCAACGGAACGTTTGTCCCCCATGCGATGACCTTTCCTCAGGGGATCAAATATCCCTCCAAGGGATCTAGTTCACGACCGCGAGGCCTCCAGAGGCATGGAAACAGATTCATTCTTAAAACAGGAATAACTATGTGAGGTCACAGTGAACTTGACCTTTGACCTTTCACCACCAAATGAACCTGAGTGTTCGATCCCTGTGAGAGTGAGACCAGCTCAACCAACTGAGTTCTACTTCCTGCAGGACTTCCCCATCGTGTCTCTACCTGGAAGGTGAGGCAGAAGTCGTCCTCCACGTTTCCCTCGTAGCTCAGCAGCTCGGCCAAACCATGAGCCAGCTCCTGCAGACACACGACAGATCAGACCCAAGATCAGTTCATCCACACAGAAGAGATCAGTCTCTACAGAAACACCTGTGAGTTATTTCATCTGTTGATACGTCCTGAAGGAAAAACGACTGAACATCATCACTTCCACTCACTGAAAGAGAAAGAGACTGTTGACACATCTACAGCAACAGGAAGTCATCATTCATTCTTTACAGGTCAGTGAGAACTAACTTTATTTATCCATCAACATCAACGTCTTTGTTTTCTGACTGTGTTTGTTCGATAAAGTCTGCTGGAGTTTGTTCCTGTGCAGGTTCCAGAGGGGGGGG